GTGAAAACTTTGCGATGAGGACGGAATGATGAATATTGGCTTGTTTTTAAAAGGTTCGGCATAAAACTTAAAGGTAAGACTAATGTTAAAATATATATCCCTACAAATTTATGTTGGCTTTCATAAGCATGATATAAAAAAAAATTATGAGATTAACAGATTCCAGTAAGATTTAAGTATTGAATAGCGCGCTTCATGTTGGATTTGCCCTTTTCCAGTCGGAATTCATATTGCCTATGAAAGCCAACTGAAAGCAGTTCAATGCTTAAATGTAGGGAATGAAACCAAAGAGTAAAACTTATGTTAAGATTTAGGGAATCAAACTAAACCGTAAGACTTCAAGTTTGAAGGAAAAAAAATATCAAAAATACAGTGTAAGACTGAGGATGTCAGTAAAAATAACTACCTATAAATGTTAACATGTTTAGTTTTTGTTGACATTTCGCTTCTCTAACACAACTATGTCTTAACGTGTGACGTCAATATCAGTTTTTATACACGTGTTTATATGTTACGTCATAATAAGTCTTTAACACGTGTTTATGTATAACGTCACAATCAACGTCACACTCAGTCTTTACACGTGTCAATGTGTAACGTCACACTCAGTCTTTACTCGTGTTAATGTGTAACGTCACACTAAGTCTTTACACGTGTTAATGTGTAACGTCACAATCAAAATTGTACACGTGTTAATGTGTAACGTTACACTCAGTCTTTACACGTGTTTTATGTGTAACGTTACACTCAGTCTTTACACGTGTTGATGTGTAACGTCACACTCGGTCTTTACACGTGTTCATGTGTAACGTCACACTCAGTCTTTACACGTGTTAATGTGTAACGTCACACTCAGTCTTTACACGTGTTAATGTGTAACGTCACACTCAGTCTTTACACGTGTTAATGTGTAACGTCACACTCAGTCTTTACACGTGTTAATGTGTAACGTCACACTCAGTCTTTACACGTGTTAATGTGTAACGTCACACTCAGTCTTTACACGTGTTAATGTGTAACGTCACACTCAGTCTTTACACGTGTTAATGTGTAACGTCACACTCAGTCTTTACACGTGTTAATGTGTAACGTCACACTCAGTCTTTACACGTGTTAATGTGTAACGTCACACTCAGTCTTTACACGTGTTAATGTGTAACGTCACACTCAGTCTTTACACGTGTTAATGTGTAACGTCACACTCAGTCTTTACACGTGTTAATGTGTAACGTCACACTCAGTCTTTACACGTGTTAATGTGTAACGTCACACTCAGTCTTTACACGTGTTAATGTGTAACGTCACACTCAGTCTTTACACGTGTTAATGTGTAACGTCACACTCAGTCTTTACACGTGTTAATGTGTAACGTCACACTCAGTCTTTACACGTGTTAATGTGTAACGTCACACTCAGTCTTTACACGTGTTAATGTGTAACGTCACACTCAGTCTTTACACGTGTTAATGTGTAACGTCACACTCAGTCTTTACACGTGTTAATGTGTAACGTCACACTCAGTCTTTACACGTGTTAATGTGTAACGTCACACTCAGTCTTTACACGTGTTAATGTGTAACGTCACACTCAGTCTTTACACGTGTTAATGTGTAACGTCACACTCAGTCTTTACACGTGTTAATGTGTAACGTCACACTCAGTCTTTACACGTGTTAATGTGTAACGTCACACTCAGTCTTTACACGTGTTAATGTGTAACGTCACACTCAGTCTTTACACGTGTTAATGTGTAACGTCACACTCAGTCTTTACACGTGTTAATGTGTAACGTCACACTCAGTCTTTACACGTGTTAATGTGTAACGTCACACTCAGTCTTTACACGTGTTAATGTGTAACGTCACACTCAGTCTTTACACGTGTTAATGTGTAACGTCACACTCAGTCTTTACACGTGTTAATGTGTAACGTCACACTCAGTCTTTACACGTGTTAATGTGTAACGTCACAATCAAAAACTGTACACGTGTTAATGCATAAAGTAAATCGGTCTTAACGCATAACTTCAAGATAATTATTTTACGTAGATTATACAACAAAGCTTAGGAAACATAGCCAGCATACGAACTATATGCTGGTTAGCATCTAATTGTAGACAAACACAGAGTATTTTTGTTGGATCTCTGACCATCTGTTACGACTCCATTTGTGGCAAAACATACGAAAACATGTTTGGTCTGTAATCATTGAATAGATAGCAACTGTTGATGGCCTCCTCATTTTCAAAATACATCACCCGTTTATCGAAAACATCACCCGTTTATCGAATACATCGTCCGTTTATCGAATACATCAACCGTTTATCAAATACATCATCCGTTTATCAAATACATCATCCGTTTATCAAATACATCAACCGTTTATCAAATACACATCAAGTCGACAGTGTCGGACCCTTTATCTACGACACATCAAGTCGACAGTGTCGGACCCTTTATCAACGACACATCAAGTCGACAGTGTCGGCCCCTTTATCTACGACACATCAAGTCGACAGCGTCTGACCCTTTATCTCCGACACATCAAGTCAACAGCGTCTGACCCTTTATCTACGACACATGAAGTCGACAGTGTCGGACCCTTTATCAACGGCACATCAAGTCGACAGCGTCGGACCCGTTATCTACGACTCATCAAGTCGACAGTGTCGGACCCTTTATCCACGGCACATCAAGTCGACAGCGTCGGACCCGTTATCTACGACTCATCAAGTCGACAGTGTCGGACCCTTTATCAACGACACATTAAGTCGACAGTGTCTGATCCTTTATCAACGACACATCAAGTCGACAGTGTCGGACCCTTTATCAACGGCACATCAAGTCGACAGCGTCGGACCCTTTATCTACGACTCATCAAGTCGACAGTGTCGGACCCTTTATCTACGACACATCAAGTCGACAACGTCGGACCCTTTATCTACGACACATCAAGTCGACAGCGTCTGACCCTTTATCTACGACACGTCAAGTTGACAGCGTCGGACCCTTTATCTACGACACATCAAGTCGACAGCGTCTGACCCTTTATCAATGACACATCAAGTCGACAGTGTCGGACCCTTTATCTACGACACATCAAGTCGACAGTGTCGGACCCTTTATCTACGACACATAAAGTCGACAGCGTCTGACCCTTAATCTACGACACATCAAGTCGACAGTGTCGGACCCTTTATCTACGACACATCAAGTCGACAGCGTCTGACCATTTATAATTCTGAATATCACATTCAATTAATAAAAATCTGTGTTACAGATAAGGGAGGCTTTTCTGTGTCACTGCCGAGGGAGGTCATTCTAAATATCCCATTAAATAAATAATACTATGTGTCACTGCCGAGGGAGATAATTCTAAATATCTCATTCAAGGGAGACAATCCTTAAGGTATTCTTATTATAAGAAGACATTCCTGAGTGTAACACTGACGATAATTATCGTTAATTTGCTACAAAGAGATGACAAAAATATCAGCCACCATATCTGCACGTTGTTTTAGCCATTGGGAAACTAACAGAATGCATTACAGTAATGAATAATATTTATATCTAAAGGTAGAATATATTGTTGGAATATTCTTGTAATATATAACTGAAATCATTAACAAAATATTAATTCCTTTAGCTTAATTCAACTAATTCTAGTTACAGGAATAATTATATATGTAAGGAAGCAGGAACAACTAAGACATGCTTTCCCTTATGTTTTAAAACTTCTGATATCGTAACGGTATTGGGTCGATGGCTGGTAACATGTAACCGTAGCTCACTAAGAGCTGTGTAGAGCTCGGGTGTCTCGGGCTCGAATCCCGACCTGTCCACTATGTTTGAGGGACCATGGCCTGGTATGTTTACCAGTCCAACAGATCATTGTATCCCCTGATAAGTGCTCGAGGTGTGTGTTATCACACTCCTATACACATAAACACCGGTACTAACCACAACACTTCCCAATTCGCTCGCGATGTTTACATTGGCAGCCATTCATTACAACTCATAAAGCAGCGGACTATATCAGTAGGTTAGATGGACGCAGCACCGTGCCATGTAGTAGCTGTTTAAAATGTACAATAGAACGTTTTTATGCAGAACTGTTAAATGATGGCCGTCGAGCTGCCAGCTTGGATTTTGACAATTCCATGTGATTATCACTATTTCTCAAAAAGTACTCGTTATCTATTTTTAATACGATATGTATTCTTGTTTTGATCCTTAGTTGGTCGTTTTTCATTTTGAGAGACTGATCAGGGAAAAAAGATGGCCACCATGCGGCAATCTCGATTTTATTGTCGTTATTTCTTAAAAGGTACTTGACAGATGGCAGATGATAGTTCGTTTCATAAGTTACCGTGGCTTTGTAGTTGTGACTGTTTCATTTTGAGACTATTTGTAAAATTGGGAAAAACAAGTAACCACCTTGGATTATGATGGTGTAGTCCTTGGCAGATATTGTTTTGTTTTTTATTTACTTTTCAAATACATTTTTGTCTGAAATGAATATCGTTACGATCATCAGTTTTATAAGGAGGGGAGACAACCTATCGTTTTGTAAATAAGCCTTCAGAAGTTGTCTCCCCTTTAAACATTGCATTAAACATAGATGTTACTTGAGAAGCTAAGATTCGTCTTTTTAAATAGCTTCCTGTTTTTAATATGGTTATCTTTTGCAGTGCGATAATAAAGTCGAATTCTTCACAATCCTCACACGTCAATGCCATTCCATAATCTAGATAAAAGCACAACTAGTTATAAGGACAAAGCTAGACATTAAATTGATATTACTGGCCAAAAATGGTAGTAGCTGGACAAAACAAAAAAACAAACATGACGTAACAGATTGTGGAAAACATCAAAGGCTTAAAACAAGATACAGTGTGTGTTTCTTTAGGAATATATTCGTTTCAGGAATGCCGTTTATAGCTTAACAAGATCTTACCAAGCATTGAATTGTTCATTAATTGTTCTCATTATTATTTTCAGCATATCCAGAGGATTTCGGTAACATGGATGGTAAAACCAACTACAAGACAATCGTTGTGCTGGTATTCTGTCTGAGTTGTATGTTCAACCTGCTGGCTTACCTGACGTACGACGCAAGTAGGGAACGAACACTGCAGGATCACAGCAGATTCCTACTCTCCTCCGGCGGCGGAGGAGGAGGCAATATACAGGCATCGTCACTAAGTGAAAATCGACTTACGAATTCTTTTGCACCTCTTGCCGCTGCGCCAGAAGGAACGGTCAGAATTAGTGTCCAACAGTTCTTAAAAGCAAGGTTAAAATCTCCAGAGGTTTTGTCGAGAAAACTTCAAGAAGAAGATAATTCAAATGTTGATCAAGATAATCAGAATGCAACTGTAGGTAACGTTACCAATCCCCATAATTATACATACGTAATTAACCAGCCTGACATCTGCAGGGGAGATAATCCACTCGATTTAATCATCGTGGTTTGTACGAGTGTGGCAGGGTTTTCCAAAAGACAAACCATTCGGGAAACATGGGGATTATTTGTAAAAGAGCAAAAAAATGTGAAAATTATATTTTTTCTTGGAGTGCAAGACGAGGAAAATATTCAGAAGAAAGTCCTTGAAGAAAGTGAGATTCATCATGACATCGTGCAGGAAGACTTTCGCGATTCGTATCGAAACTTGTCAATTAAATCAGTTGGTGCACTTAAGTGGATGACAGATTATTGTCACATAGCCAAATTTGGACTGAAAATCGATGATGATATTTTTGTGAATATTCCAAATCTCATGGAGACATTGTCAAAAGTGACTCACCCTCGGATTATAATTGGACATCTATTCGTTGGCGCTCGTCCAATACAGAATAGGAACTCTAAGTGGCATACAGCGAAGGAGGATTTCCCGCGGGACGTGTATCCTCCGTATGTGTCCGGGACCTGCTACATCGTGTCTATACAAGCAGCAACAGATATCTACCATGTTTCTTTATATACCAAATTATTTTGGTTGGAAGACATTTATATTACAGGAATTTGTGCAGAAAAGGCAAAAATTAAACTGGTTCACGAAGGAGAGATATCGTTTATGACACGTGAAGCCAGTGGTTGTGCTTTTGAACATGCAATAACGGGACATAAAGTGAGCTCAACAGACATGTACAAAATATACAGGGAATTACGAGATCCGAATCTCAAGTGCAACAACGATATAAACCGTGGATGATAAAAGTCCAGTTCTGTATTAATTATTTGATTCTAAACATTTATCTTATTTTAAAATTGTATACATATCAGGAAAAGTCATTGAAATTGTTTCACCACACTTCCCTAAAACAAAAATGCCGTGTAAAATTATATGAGGAGAGTTATCACACCTTGAAATAGCAATAAATCGTCATATTACAAAAGGGGCGTGGTCACACAAACAATACACGTGTCAAATTACAGTAGGGGCGTGGTCACACAAACAATACACCAGTCTCATTACAGTAGGGGCGTGATCTCACAAACAATACACCTGTCACATTACAGTAGTGGCGTGGTCAAACAAACAATACATGTCACATTACAGTAGGGGCGTGATATCACAAACAATACACGTGTCACATTACAGTAGGGGCGTGGTCACACAAACAATACACCAGTCACATTACAGTAGGGGCGTGATCTCACAAACAAAACATCTGTCACATTACAGTAGGGGCGTGGTCAAACAAACAATACGTGTCACATTACAGTAGGGGCATAAACACACTTGGTTATCACAATACAGTGTCACTTGTATCACACTTAATTTACGTTACACTATATTGGTATTACACTGCCATTGAATTATGCTGTAAGTTACGTATTATTTGTATAAATATTTTATTTCACTATATTTTTATTACATACTGTCTTAAAGAATTGCTCCTACTAGCAACATCCGAACAAACACATGTATCATCTCACCGCTGTCGACGTCATACCATTAGTCTACGACTACTATTGAAAAAGCTAATAGTTCCTTTTGTATTTGGTTACCAGCATCCTACCTGTTATTTGTTTAATACTATCATTTCCATATATTAAGGACTTCTACATACCAGTGTAAAGGGTCAACACGGCATTACCCGATAGCGTTAGATATAGCGACGTTTTTTGTTTTTTTTTACTTTAAGGCATTTATACATCATGCACACCTTTGCTTGGACAGTATTTCTACATATGTAAACAATTTGAAATGTGTAGTGCAGAAAAGTGAAGGGTCGTGTGTGCTTTGATTTGTTAAAGCTAGCATTCCATGTTCGGACATGTTGCAGTGTCTTGGTGATACATGTATGGCATAATACAACTATCTTTGACGTGTAAGTGCTGTTTGTATATAATTTATGTAAATGAAATTACAATTAATGACATTCTAAACAAATCAAGATTTCAAAATAAAATCCTGTAATCAAAATTAAGGTCAAGGTCACATGTTTTTCGGCGCTTTCCGTAATCGATAAAAAATATTCTCGTTTACGGAAATTTCCGACGTTTTCCGACTTACTCACTTCAAGACGCCTGTGCTGTGTTGGAGATAGCTGCGGAAACCTTAGCTTCTAGGCCCGATCTTTTTTTTTTAAACAAATTAAAAAAAGGATCGGGCCTAGAAACTACGGTTCCCGCAGCTATGTTGGAGAGGACAATGGTTTAGATGATCGAGACTACTGACTAAATGGCATTGGTAACTTTAGGTTTCACTGAGGGACACCAGTGTGTTTTCAGTGGAGCCAGTCGTGAGTTTTTGATTTTTGTCAAAAGTTACGTCATCAGTTAATAAGCTCCACACAAAATGTATTATGGAAAATTATAAATATTTGTAGCCGATAATGTAAAGTAACCATATAGTTAATGTATCATTTATATTTGTGGCATGCAAATGCTATTGTTCGGTCCCTTCGTAAAATCTATTTTTAATTGTTACATTAAACCATACCGAATCCTGCACACAAACTGCTTTTCCACGCATCAGGCGCCATTGGTGATATTCTGATGACTGATCTGAGATGTCAATACTTGTTAAAAATGTATGACTTTGGTGTCAGTATATCTGTTAAACTGTTAAGTCGATGATGTATCACTGAACGTTGTCGAATTCGGGAACATGTTTCCGAATTCGACAAGGTTGCCGAATTCTGAGTTTTGCAGAACTGGTATGCCTGATTGAATGAATGAAAATATTCAGACCAATGAACAAATATCTTACCTTTGTTTTAAGCTCATCTATGTGAAACCATTTCCATACTGAAGTATATACTCCGCCCGGCTTTATCAACACTTTTACTGGCGACAAACCTTTGCTCAAATTGTAAAGTATGATAAGATGTGGATCACCAGAACAGAGACGTATATATTAGGAATTATCCATTTTATCAGTTAAAATATTGTCGAATCGAAACGGTACTGACGGCAAATAAGTGGTTGTTTTTGGTAACCATTTCAACATACCGTATAACAATTACATAACAAAACAATTGATATCATTTTTGCTTGGAAATCTTACCAAACAATAGCATCAAACGGCAAAATTGTGTTGAGCTATCCTTTCAAAATGGCGCTCTGTCTTGGTGTCAAGCGTGACGTCAAATATTACGCTACTATGTAGCTATTTCCTGCGATTTTTGATGCAGCAATATTTTCTGCGTATTACTTTTTAAAAACCGCAATAACGAGAGACCATTTAATACAATGTAATACAAATATTTTCAAATTTATTAATTCCCTCTAAATATCTCTAAATGAATAAGATATGTCTTTAGATATAATGAGATATACATGTATCATATTTAGATTAAATAGGAATCTCGGTTGTTTATAAGTTAGCTCATCAATTAATATTTTTAGCATCTGTGTGGATCATGTGTGTCAACAATGTATATACTCGTGTAAATGTTATTTCATGCAAAAATGTTCTTTTTATGTTTCCTTTGCTGTTTATGAAATGATAAATTTATCTGTGATAATTGGAGATTAATTAAAGATGATTATATTAATCCGCTTTTGTTTTGATTGCCGTCTGATCAGATTTAACTATGCATAGAAATTGTTTTCATCGTGTTTACGGTGGCCTAAATTATTTTTGTCAAATCGTTGTTACTTTGCAGTAGTTTCGTTAGTCCGCGGAGATGAGCTACCATGTATACCTCCTTTTTTAACGATAAACGGCAGAGTTTTCTGATATGGCAACATCTTTGTACCTATAGCATTTGCCTAAAACATTTGAATTACAATGAAATGGTATTAAAGAAATCCTCAATTCCAACAAAGATCACCGGCGTGTAGAAAACCGTACTGAACGTGTCATGGGAGGTAACTCACAACTTTCAAATGCAACGCTTTTACCTCAAAATTGCATGCTTCCTCAAGTAACGAGTGAAGAAAACTAATGATACGCTGGTGGCAGCTTGAGATGATATACTCGTTATGTGAGATGCCATACATAAGGTACGTGAAATATGCTGACGTACCAAATCTGTGTTACTTGCTTACAGAAAGAACTAGGCTTGCTCGATAACCAAGGAAACTCGGCCAATACATTTTCCAATTTTTCTAAAGACGAAATACTAGCAAATCACACTTCTGTATTTCAATGATACGGACCTTTGATTCCAAAATTTCCCAAGAATGCTTATAAACTGCGTGTTATCGTTGGTTCTTCTAGTTCCTTACCCAAGTCATTATCCAAACCTATCACTACCATCCCCAGTACCATTAAATCAGGGTTACAGTCGCAGTGTGTAACTGTATACTTAGAAGTGGAATAAACAGTATCAGGATTTTTAAGAATTCAAAAGATCTTTTGATCAATCTTGAACGTACTCTTCTCAAAAATGTTACCACTACCTGTTACAAAATGAAGGAACGCCTACGTTCTCTTGCTATGCGCGCTTTCTTTTCAAAGAAAGGCGTACGTCGATACAAATAATTTATTTATTATATGGTTATAAATTATTTCGGAGCATATTTCGTTCAAAGTACAACAAAAGCCAAAATGAAATATACTGAGGACGATATTATGAGAATGATTGAGTTCGGTGGCAAGATTTTCCAGCAGACTGTAGGCATTCCCACGGGAACAAACTGTACCCCTCTTCTGGCCGATTTGTTTCTGTTTTCATATGTCAGAACCGATAACAAAAACCTAGCCAAGTCCTTCAATTTCACATTCAAATATATCGACGATGTGGCGACTGTTTTTAATAACAAGAATACCCTCCAGGGCTTTAAATCAGAGACACCACAGACTCTTAAAACTTAAGTCGCTTTCTTCGATCTTTACTTACATCGTGACCAACAGGGACGGCTTCCTACTCAACTGTATAATAAGAGGGATGATTTCGACTTTCCTATTTTGAACTTTCCCTTTCTGGATAATCAACATCCATGTTTCCCTTCCCTGTTTACATGTCACAGTTGATTTGGTACTCACGAGCATGATCCGAATATCGTGACTTCAGTGATAGGTGTCGACTGCTGACGGACAAACTAACTATACAGGGTTTCCAAAGATGCAGGTTGATGCCGATCGCCATCAGAAGGTCGCAGGGAAATATGTTTTATCTGTTTGTGAATGAAGGTCGATGTTTTATACTATGCTCATTAAGAGTGCCTTGTGGTTTTGTCGTCACTACCCGAGTTCTCGATGCGATGAATTGACATTACTTGGATTCGACTTAGATTAACATGGCGGTTGTCGTTGATGAAGCAGAAGACGCTTACCCTTCCGGAACACCTTGTACTTTTTCAATGGTCTCCCTGTATGTAGTTTGCCCTAGTTTTATCGATTTTAAATTCGAATTATGATTTGTTGACCCTTCGGTATTCTCTTGTTATTTTTGTGTAGAAAGTTTGGTGAACAAATTAAAAAAAAACAGTCAAGCATTTAGTCTGCAATGTATGATTCAAATGAGGCGATGAATTCCCAAAACCATCTCAAACGGCTCGGTCAAATTTCACATCATGTTACAAGAAAACGATACAATTACAAAAAAAACAGTTGTCATAGATATTGGCAAAAATTGAACAACTCTGGAAAGAACTTGTCACGTCTTCCAATCTAGGGGAGCTCAATTTTAGCCACTGAACACCGTTCCGAATTTCAACGATCCAACAGTGATGCTAATATAGTTTCAGCTATGGTGATACAAGCTGCTAGATGAGTGTGCGACAGTTCATTAATCAATCTAGTGAGTTACCTTTTCTACATGAATATGTTGTAATAACGTGTGTTTGGTTTGGATTTATCTTGTTTAACGTCGTATTAACATCTAAGGTCATTTCAGGGCGTATGTAATAATGTGTGTCCATTCACGGTTTGTAATGATAGTATGACAACAAAAGATATCTAAGGAACTCCGAACTACTACCTGAAACTGTAACTTAGCCATTGGGAACATTGTTCCTGACATGGGTATAGCTTTGATAAATAATTTCTGAAAGGGAAAAGAGCGAAGTGATTCGATAGAGATAACCATAACTTGCTGATTTACCGTGGAAACAAATAAAGATGAAATAAAACATAAATGTCAACGACAGTGTAAAGATACAATGGGACCAGCCCAGGATTTGACCCCCGAACCTGTGATATGTCTACGGTGTGCTTACTAACTGAACTACCCTGGCCTAATCGCGCCCCAGTTCTATACAAAACAAACTCAATGAGAGGTTACTGTATATAGGAAAAACTACGCCGGAATCTTCTGATGTATTATTTGCAGTTGGACAGAGCAGTTTAAAGTTTGAAAGATGGTAAATGTTTTGTTAAATATTTTGTTGACACGCATTACGGCAAATTGTGATATATAACTGAACCGATCACACTCTCACGTGTTTTGAAATTATGAATCGTTCACAGATATTTCTAATTAGGACAGGTTATGAGATGATCATTCTAGTATCACCCACATCTGAAATTCATAACGTGATAAAAATGCTGTTCTTATTTCTTATTAACACTTACCTAAGTACTGCATGTAAAACAGTAAATATTACCTCAATATCAACAGATGCAACAAATACTGATTTATGATGATGTCTTTCTAACAGAAAAGAGTGTTATACGTACAAAATGTTACAACCGTTATCTTAAACGAAGACCATTGTCATCGGAGTTCTGGTGCAAGATTAGGAAATCAAGGTAACACTGAGGGGGAAATGATGCTGTTGTTTAAACTAACTTAATGCCAACCAACCACTCACCACAGTCTATATCGAGAGAATACGTTATGTTTCTCTTCGTGGTAATTCACACAAAAAGGCGTGTTCTCTGTGCAAATGTAGGCACTGGCTTGTCCACCTGGTGACCGTGTGGTTAGAACACCTTATTGATTAAACTCTGCATTTGCAAGCTGTACGTTTAGGACATGCGGCACCTGGTTCTCAGGGACATGTAGGCTAGCAATTTATACAATATAGACCATTCAGATTTAAATTATTATTATGCATTTGTTCTTTTAATGGACAAGGAGGGGGATTCCACACAACATAGAATTAGCATATTAAGTTTTAACCTCAACTCAGATAGCCAACTAAATAAAGGTAAACAAATTAGTTAGGTATTTTTTTTATTTGAAAACGCATATTTGACAGTTTTTAAACAATGAGTTGTTTTTAAAATTATGTTATTCGCCGAAATTTAAAAAAAACCAAATGGTACCACAAGAAATGCAGGAGTGTGCTGCTCAGAGTGAAATGCGAAATTGACTAACATTTTTGCCATTTGCAAAAATTAGGAATGATTTTGTGACAAAACATTTAACAATGACAGAGGTGTACATCAAGGCGGTCCTATTTGTCATTAAACGAACTACGAATATAATGATGTCTGAAGCCAAATATAACAATACCTCCTTGTAAAAAGAAATATAAATAAGTACATGCACGGCTCTACGCCCGATTAGCATCGCTGCTGGATTCTTTCCTTGGTGTCACTAATTATTTTGCTTCTACTTACGATTCATTTGCAGGTGGCAACAGATGTTTCTTCTACTATGCTGGTGCATATTTCATTTGTTTGAATTTTCTTCAAATGAGGCCACTACATACGACTCTTCAACTGGTTGATTGTGAATCTATTTGCTTCGGTGAACGTTTAGGATAGTCTGCAGCTCCAATGAACTATTAGCAGCGTTATGTCGTCTACAACTGTTCGAGCCCCGATGAAGGTAGTAGTATAGACTCGCTCAACCAGCATAGAATGCGGACTGATGTGTTTCGTGTTTCTCTTACCCTGGACAGGTGTATCCGCACTTTTACCGGTGTGATATTTCCTTTTCTCTTACCCTGGACAGGTGTATCCGCATTTTTACCGGTGTGAGATTTCCTTGTCTCACCCTAGGGTTGAGACGGGGGGATTCCCTTATTCCTAACAATGGCATGACGTCACTTTAACAATACAATGACGTCACGTCAACAATCCATCAACGTCACGTCAACCCTGAATTTAGCATGTAACGCTATCATTACATTTTGCATATGATAAACAATGAAAGAACAGGGTAAGTGAAAAAGAATCATTCACCCCCTTGTGGGTGAGATTGTGGAATCTCAACCCTCGGGGAAATATTCTTTAGTTGCCAAACAATCGGCACAGCCTCGTGTTTGGCAACTTAAGAATCCTCCCCCTCGGGTTGAGATTCTCCTATCTCACCCCCATGGGGGTGAAAGAGTCTATTAGTCTCACCCTAGGGTTGAGACGGGGGGATTCCCTTATGAATAACAATGGCATGACGTCACTTCAACAATACAATGACGTCACGTCAACAATCCATCAACGTCATTTCAACCCTGAATTTCTAACGTTATCATTACATTGTGTATATGATACACAATAGGAGAACAGTGTAAGAGAAAAAGAATCATTCACCAACTTGTGGGTAAGATAGGGGAATCTCAACCCTCGGGGAAATATTCTTAAGTTGCCAAACACTCGGCAAAGCCTCGTGTTTGGAAATTAAAAGAATCTCCCCCCTCGGG